CTGTTAACTGCTTATTGTCGAGCAGCCTCCATGCTTCTTTTTCTTCTTCTTGGTTAATTGCTCCTGCCTTTTGTGTAGTAAACGGGGGCAATACGGCCAGATCACTTTCTTGTAGTTACTATGCGTACAGTATGGCAATATATCCCAGGGAGATCGGCGTTTTACAGCGAAACGAATCGCCGTTAAAGACGAGGCCTAAAAACCCTGTTGCAAATTTTTACAAGAAAAATTCTTGTGAGATCTTCCAAGATAATTTTCACATACGAATTTCGGACAGGAACATACAAGATCGTACAAGAATATATCGCATACGATATTATAGGTAAATCAAGAATCTTGCATGAATCTTACACCCATGTTACATGAATCTTATAAGCATGTTACATGACTTTTACATGCATGTTACGTGAATCTTGCGCGCAGGTTATGTGAATCTTGCAAGAATATAACTGGAGTGTCATTATGAAAATATTACAAGAATACTATTGGAATTTTGTGTGATTTATTGCTCGTATCCTAGTAAATAAAATAGACAAGCAAGAGGAGTTGAATAGGATTTAAAAGAATTCATTTCGGTTAAAATTTAATTCATTTTACACAAATTGAATAACGGCTTTTCGACGAAACCAAACTTAATTTGAGAAAGGAGCATAAAAAGCTTATGCCAGTTATTATAGCGAAATTATAATTTATCAATTCATTAAGACAGTGATAATAAATTCAGTCATCTTCAGTCTTCTAACAAATTTTTTAATTTTTCTTCATTCTTTTTCATTTCATATGTTCAATCCAGTTTCTGTTCATTTAATAATTCCATTTCGTTTACTGGGATAATCGATATCTTTATTACTTTGGAATGATCACGTAAAGAAATTATTTCTTAAAAGTATCTTATTAGGCTAAAGTAATTAAAATCTTTTCATTGTAATATAAATCGTGTACGATTCATGCCAGATTCCTGCGCCAACTTGAAAGATAAATTATTTCGTAACTATATATTTTTTAAGACTGACACATGATCTTTCATATAACACTTAGGAATTGTACATAATTAATATCATATTCTTGGATGATCCTGTAAAGAAATTACTTTTTAAGAGTGTCTTATAAGGTTAAAACAAAATCTTTCAATACGATAGAAATCATCGTGTATGATTCATGCTAGATTCTTGTATCAACTTGGAAAATAAATTATTCTGTAACTATGTCTCTTAATATCGATCAATAATCTTTTATGAAACACTTCAAAAGTTTCAAGTTTTTTATACAAAAAATTGTAGAATATGCAAGTAAAACGAAAAGACGTCAACTTATATTTATAGTAAACTCAAAAAAATTACACGATAGGTTTAACGTCGTCATATAGAATATAAAAATATTGTTATATATTCAATTTGTTTATAAATGTTCCTTTCATAAAGAACTTTTATAAACTTTTATATATGGAAAGCATCACAAAACGTCATTTAACTTTAACATAATAAATATTAATAAAAATATATAATAGTAGAAAAATAAATAATAAAAATAGAATAATAAAATAAAATCAAAATTAAAATACTAATCGAGCTCTCGAAATTAAAAAACAATGATATAACATACGAACAATGAGAGCGTTAACACAGCGCGGGAATTGGTGCGCAATTTATACAATAGTCTAATAATATTCACATAATATATATATTAAAATTGTACAGTGACCGTCGATACCAACTCATTTGGACGTTTCGGTTTTTTTCAAACCATCTTCAGCAAATTCGTAGATCATTATCATAGAAGTAATAGTTGGAAGATGTTGAAATTATGTTTTATATGAGACCGAGGATGAGTGTCTCCTTACTGTCTGGTTGAGAATTGCCCAATTTTTGTCTCTTCGCTGCTTAGCCAAGTGACTAACCTCCTTTTCCATAGATCACAAATCAGTTATTCAGAGCGTAGTAAGTCAAATTATAAAAGTTACGATTACAAAACGTAAAAATTTCTCGTTATTAAATTAAGTATACGATATATACAATATAACATATGTACCACCTAGTAAACGAGAATGAATTAAAATGGATTGAAATTTTTTTTCTATCCGAATGTGTATTTTAAATAGCGAATACTTTTTTTTAGATTTAATTGGATTCAATTGGATTTAATTAGATTCAATTGGATGCAATTAGATTGAAAAACTGCATTTTCTATTCAAAATTTTGAATTGAACAGTATTCATAATGCACAGAAAAAGCTAATATTATTTTTAGATTGAAAAGCATAGAGATATGCTCCATGCAATTCCTATAAATGAATAAAAATGCATTCAGAATTGAAAAGCATTCATTTTAACATTCATGAATCCATATTTCTGAAAATCTGAATCCATTTTAATTCATTTCAATCCATTCTCGTTTACTGGGCAGATGGAAGTCAGACAAATAATGATAATAAAATAAAAAGATAATAAAAATAAAATAATAAAATAAGAAGATAATAAAATAGATAATAAAAATAAAAACTTAAGTTAAAATTAACGTGATGACGAATACAAGTGACGAGCACTATTCGATTCGAAAATAAGTTAATATTTTTCCATTTTATCGGTGTTTTATCGTTTGAAGTTGTGGCAATGGAATTAAATTGCTCATATACATATGAAATAAATATTATTATATTAATAAGATTAATATAATATATTAATACTTTACTTAAAATGCTAATAAAAATTAATTATATTTAATTCTTTTGGATTTTGTCCAATTCAAATTACTTGTTACTCTTTGCAAAATTTTGAAAAAGTAACAAGTAATCCTTTGATATATCAATCAGCAAGCATTCGAAGTTTCGCGCCGTTTAGCATTGCACTATGGGTAACTGTGGGAGGATGTCTTAACGTTCCTGTATATAACTTTAAGATAAGGATCCAAACAAAAAAATGCGTTTGAGTAAGACACAACGATTTAAATAAATATAAGGATAAATGTTCAGTGTAGCGCCCCTACCTTCGATTTTCCTGTGATTTTGTAAATTTGTGTATTTTTATGTATAGAATATATTCCGAGAAGGAAAATATCGGACAAGCCTCGTTTTTTTTATTTAATTTCAGTTTTTTTATGTCGGTAAGTTGGAAAATAATAATTTAGTAATATATTTTACAATTGGTGGCGCATGATTATTAATGTCGTTATTTATTAATTAAATATCTTTTTAATCTATTAAATATGAAGTTACACGAATTTTTAGTCTTAACAAGTAAAAGACCAAGTTTAATTGAGTTTTTAGTTAAGGAGATCCTAAACTAATTACCGAAATTGATCGAGATCGATAGTGCAGACTTTTTTAATTTCAAATTCGATAATTGTGACATCTTTGATTTATTTCTTACATTATGGCCGGAATCCATAGTCCGGTTTTAGGACGGAATCCATAGATGGTCAAGACCGTCTATGGATCCCGTCGTTAATCTTAAGATCTTACTTGAGATTAAGAACGGACTATGGATTCCGGCCTTAATCTTAAGCAGTGTCTTAAGATGCTAATTGGTTTGGCTCTCTGATTGGTTCATGCACTAGCTTAAGACCATCTCGAATCTTGAGTAACATTTGTGGATTCCGCCCTATATTATATATCGTTCTGTCTCACTTAAACGCATACATCTATCCTTATCTAACTATGCCAGCACCATCTATCACAAGATCGCGCTACTACTACACGGAATTTCGGCTCTGTTGACATTCTGTCTTCGCAAAGCATCCGTATACACGTATTTTCTATTCGGTGAAAATACTTTTCTTCTAGACTTTCAATCTTAATTCTACAAACTCGGTATCGTTCGTTCCAGTAATGTGACCTCAGCTGCACGCTTATTTTCAAGATATAGACTATAAAATTCTCTGTCTCTCTCTCTCTCTCTCTCTCTTATACAAGCAAATACATACCTGAGGCGACAGCTGTACGAGCCAAAGTGAATTTTTTTACTTTTTTTTCGATTTCCTTGTGAAATTCAGTGCAGCTGAGGTCCTGTTTATGTGTACTTTAATTCTGTAATAATAATTTTGCAATCCGTAAATCCAATTCGGAGATTTTTCACCGAATGAAAATGATGGAAAAGTAGGACGACTTTAACATTCCCTTAAAGTTAATGTATTAATTTTATTAATCTTAATCAATAAATTAATTAAACGATAAATGAAACATTTATTATAATTAATTTTTCAAAATTTATAGGAATTTGGACATCAACGATGTAGCCGCGTTTATAGTTATAACGTATACTTTAAAGAAATGTTAAATTTAAATTTCAATCCACATAAAAAGAATTAAAAAAAGGTATAAATTTAGAATCATACACTTTCTGTTATAATTTAAATTATGTAAGAAAAATCATGTTTTTAATTAATAAAGCAGAGAATATGTAGATACATTTTGGATCACGAACTATTCTCTGCTATAATATAAATTATATAAGAAAATTGGGGCTTTTAATCAATTAAAGCAGAAAATATTTACTTTATTTTTAGGGATTTATTGATGTGGGAGGATATAATTCACTAATTATTTTAAAAAATTCTGTAATTCTGTAAATAACATTAATGAGCATGCATAGTTGTAAAATATCATTAAGTTATCATTTTTCAACTTACCGACAATTTTCCTTCTCGGAATATATTCTACACATAAAAATACACAAATTTATAAAATTACAGGAAAAAATTGTAGGTGGGAGCGTTATACTGACCATTTACCCTAACATCGACCTCGCAAGCATCATGATTGATCGGATATGAATCCTATCATACTTGTCAAATTCTATAGGATTTGTACAAGATTTCTCTCTCTCTTACAAGATTTGATTCAAATTAGTGAATTCACGAACCAGATTCATATTCAAAACAATAGGATTTTTCTATCGTTTTCTATCAATTTTTTTTAGCAGGGAATAACTCAACACACTAAAAATGATACTTTAAATGTATAATTAAGTGTATATATAATTTTTTATAATTATAAATGCAATAAGTTTAATTCTTCCACTTAATATTTGGTAAATGCAAAGCACTCTCAGCATAAAAATAGTCTTCAGATTGAGGTTGTAATTTTGCTTTGTAATCCGTCAGTATCATACGATCCCCTTGTTGAACAAATATCTAGAAACATATACACATAAATATAGTACTCCCTATCCTGTATCATTATTCCTTCATCCATAATCTCCTAATTAGAAAAGTATTTATGTACGTACATCGATTACTATTGTATGGCAAGATAGTTTTTTTGCCAATTCCAATCGTTTCTCTAGATTCTCAATAAATTTTAAATATTTTTCGAGAACGGCATGTGGCGCATTATATTTGTATAAAACTTTCAAAACATCTTCTGTATACAAATGTGTTTGTAATTTTGTATTACCAAGTATTCCCTAAACATAATTGATATAATTCTGATGGAATAAATGAAAATTGACTTACATAAATAAAACACGCTACCTTTGTTAAGAGTAAACGATCGATGTCATCCCATCCACCACAGGCGGCTTTAACTTGCAAAGTGACTTTCTGATACAGTCTAGGAGAAATATTATGGTCTCGAGAGAGCATCATGGGTGATATCATGACAAAATCATTCGGCGTATTGCAATGGTGTTTACATGCATAATATAGAGATTCCAGAATAGAAGAATTTAATGCAAGTTCCTCATCATTCTTTTTTTGTTTGATCGCCAATTGCCATTCTAACAATTTACGATATAAATAATACAATTTTTTCATGATAGAAAAAGAGAAATAATACAAACGTACCCAGCAACTTAATATAAGATTCTAGAAACATAGTTTCTTTGCAATTGGGTAACATGGTAAACAGTGCCTTGTAACAATTGTGAAGTTTTTGCCATAGTCTATTTGGATCTTTTGTGTTTTTTATAATAATATGCAGATTCTTCATCTGTAATCAACCAGCAAATGAAATTTGCAACTTAAATTGCATGACATCTGTAGTAACACTTACAGCAGCAGTTGAAGAATGATCTAACATTCTGTAAAATATCAAGTATCAAGAGAAGTACTAATAAATCATCAATTGTATATTATAGAAACATTACTTACGTTAAAATATCAGTTATTTCACTTGTTTGCAGCCTTATAAACAGATAATAAATATACACATTTACTGCATTCGGCCTCTCCACTAATAGTCTTTGTACCAATGATCGTTTTAAAGTTTTTATAAGAAATAAAATTATCTGCAACGTTAACCAAACATTAACAAGATTTATAATTTTTGTCCTGGCAATTAATTTATTGCAAGATTATTATTTTAGCTGTATAAGTATTTTAATTCGTACTATTAAAATAGAATTTCCATCTCCATTTGAGATAGCAGCATCTAATAAAGCAGTTTTGCTAGCGAGAGACTTGTATCGTTCTAATGAATATGATTGTCCGAGCAATATCTCTCTCAAGGTGATGTCTGGCTGCACATCGATTTCAAGACATTTATGTTCTGTTTTTGGACGACCATTCTCTGATTTATTATCTGCGTCTAAAACTACAAGATGCTCAAAAAGATTTTACATATTTTAACTTTGTCATTAACAATTACTATTTGAAATAGGAAGAGAGAATAACTCTAACGGTATGAAGAATTTCCATTTTTGATCAAAACAGATTTTAAATGCTTTAATTTATATTTAGTATGAATTTATATACATTTCTGATTCCACAATCCGTGCGCTGAATTGTTTTTTCGGACTTAAAACATACTCATGCACAGAATAGTAACATCACATTAAATCATACAAGCAATTTAATAATTTTTTAATACTAATAAGCATCTAATAAGAATATTCATTATTTATTAATGTTCATCTAAAACATGTAAATAACACTTTGTCATTAACATTAGAAGAATTCCAAAATATATTCTTGACATACTGCGTGAAAGCGTCTTTTCAGATATAACTGAGAGAAGAGATTTTGTAGTTTGAAGATCATTGGTAGACTGAAGGCTATTTTCAAGGTTTGATGTATTAAAAATTCCGGTCCATAGTTTCTGCGTGTCGCTCTTCAATTGATCCACCTGCAATTTGATTCTCAGATACTTGCCGCTCAGAGAATGCACAATTTACAATTCGTTACAATCATAACTTCATTCTCAAAGCAGAACGACCGCTTCTCGCTGCTGTACCAAAACTCATCTTCGTCTTTCACAGCGTTCATTTCGGACTTCAGAACTTCTATCTAATTCCAAATCAGATTCACTAATTACTAAAGGCCCGTCACATATGGGCTGCGTTCCACCAGAGAGAAGCCTGCGGGTGCGATCATGGTGGAAAAAGCAAGGTGTAAAGCCTTGTGTCCACGATGCTAGAAATTGGTCCGAGATCTCGGAGAGAGAAAGAATTAACCAATCACATTTAAACAATTTAGTCACATGATCAATGCGATTGGTCAATTCTTTCTTCATCCGAGATCTCGGACGGATTTCTAGCATCGTGGACACTGGGCTTAACAATCCCGATGATACGCAGTCGTTCAATTTCTGAACCAATCAGCACGCGACCCTTTTTTGTAGGTGCTCACTTTAAAGTAACATCCGTCGCGTACGTCAGTGTAGTGCGCTGTTTTCTGTTGTATGGGGAATATAGTGTGGTTTGATTTTATTTATCTTACCTTTTGCGGCTTTGCAACATTCGCTGTGAGTAATAAATATAATTAATGTTGAGAGGCATCACATTTGTTCGATATTTGCTTAATAATATGTTTAGGAATCATGTCGACTTGTTGCATAAGAAATTGTAAAAGTCGCTCCGGTGGACCTACGAAAGACATGAAAGACATAAAATTTTTTCCATTCCCGCAAGATCTTTTATTAAAAAAGAAATGGCTTGAAGTTTGCCATCGAGAAGAAGGAAATTTAAACGTGAACAGCGGTAAATTTTATTTAAAAAATACATTTATTATAAATGTTTGAAATATTAAAAAATAACAATCTATAGTTGATAAAAAAAATATCCAAAAATAACAATCAGTACAATCTGTAATTTTTAGCAAGAATATGCGACATTTCTCTTCGGATTGTATAGAAAAGAAGTTGACAAAGCCAAGTATACCGAATACTGAGGCTCGATTAATGCGTCGACTAAAGACCGGTTCGATTCCAACACAATTTCTTGATTTGCCATATTAAGGTGTAGGATTAAGAATAGGTGTAGTACATTGGAAGGTGATGAAACAGAATCCATGATGAAAAACATTTGGTAACTTTGAAAGTGATCCTATATGAAATATTCTATTTAAAAAATTCGGTTGTTTTAAACAAAGGATTTTACATATAATTGTCATTTGTAATATATATTCTACACTAAACAGTACTTTGCATGTTACAGCCCTGTTGAAAATTCTTGTAAGTTTTTTGTACCAGCAAATTATTAACATAAAGTTAGTAGTGTTTAAATTATATTCATCCTGGATGCATCTTTGATGCACCATGTGAACATAGCACACAAAACTTGCGTGATGGAAAAGTGCGGAATAGCGCTGATTGGTTGCTTCAATGGATGCATTCTCTATTCCGCAGTCCAATTCCGCATCGTGCGATTTCACCTTAAGGGTGAAATCACACGGTGCGGAAAAAGACTGCGGAATAGAGAATACGTCATTGAAGCAACCAATCAGAGCTATTCCGAATAGCGCTGAATAGCGTTGATTGGTTTGTTCAATGACGCATTCTCTATTCCGCAGCTTTTTTCACACCGTGTGATTTCACCCTAATACACAGAAATTATCTTAAGGGTGAAATCACACGGTGCAGAAAAAGACTACGGAATATAGAGAATGGCTGCGTTCAGCAGACTCAACAGTTTTGCAACCGTTTTATGATTGTCTGCTGAGATAGGACCATTCTTCTAGATCTAAAAGTATGATCCAATCAGCGCGAAGGAAACTTCCAACAGTTGCAAAACAAACGTTCTGCTGAACGCAGCCAATGCGTCATTAAAGCAACCAATCAACGCTATTCAGCGCTATTCGGAATAGCGCTGATTGGTTGCTTCAATGACGCATTCTCTATTCTGCAGTCTTTTTCCGCACCGTGTGATTTCACCCTAATACCCGGATAACATTTCTGAACGCAGCCTAAAAAGTGATATGCATATATACATCGGAAAACTGTATTTTGCTCAAACGCAAGCAAAGTTCTGTACAGTCTCTATCGAAAGTTCAATTGATACAGTGAGTCAAGTGAGTGTTTTTAATTGGATTAATCATAAGTATATAAACTACAAATTCAGAGTAATTATTAGAATTCAATCGCCATCGCAAAACTTAATTAAAATATACTCATTCGATGCATTTTTATTCGAAACAAAAGAATCTGGCAAATATCATAGCGGTTTGCTTCTCAAAGCGAATTATTTAGCATTAAAGTTGACGACTTTTTAGGTTAGAAAACCTGTCAACTAGTAGATGCAGCAACACACATATATGTACATGTACTTTGTATTCGCATGCGCATGTATTTTATATATTGTATTATTTCTTACTAAATGAATATAAGACTATAATATACTAAAAATATTTAGATATTTAGGACAGGGTAATTATTGACTTGAGTTGTCTCACTTCTGATCCTAGAGAGCCCAAAATATTTATGAATATTTATGATTTATACGGTCATAAAAATATTTAATACTATTTATGATAATTACCCTGCCGAAAACAGCCGATTAAAGTCGATTAAAACAAAAGTAATCCGTATCGATCAGGATTCTTGCACAGAGAATTGCATATTGAAACCGATTGAAAATAAATAAATCGGATTTAATGCGCTTCATACGGATTATAATTGGATCATATGAATCTGTTTCAATCATAAATTCCCCTATTCCATGAATGAAATCGGATTTAATGCAACCTGAATCCAATTTTGTTGTTACCAACGAAAATAATTCGATTGAATCGGAATTTCTCCGATTTTGCAGACGATATTGGAATCCGTTTTAATGAAACGATATATGTAAAATTGAAAATCTTTTGAAAAAGAAGTATGTCCACTAAGAAAGATATTGATATACGGTCTAAAATAAGATTCTTATTAAAAATTACTTCACTAGTACTTCAAATAATCTCTAAAGTTGAATTTAAATAATCTTACTATGGCTTGACCTTAAATTATTATGTTTTCAAGTTTCAATATCGATGAAGTAGATACAACATTGATATTGCGTAAAACGACTTGAAACGATAATCAAATATCACTTGTCAGTATATATATGTAACACTCCTATTGCTTTTTTTGGGAGTGGGGGATGTGCAAAGATAGCGAGATAGAGAATATCGGATCTCTCACTTCCACAGGGTACTCGAGTATGGTGCGCATGCGCTGTACACAGCGAGTACACTATTTAAGTGAGAGGTAGATATTCGTCTGCACCGTGGTGTTTTTGCCAGCTTTTAATTGGCGTTAGCAATGTAGGAGTATTACATACATGTTTGTCAGTGACTTTCCATGGCACAGAACATATAACTATATAAGTATTTCTCTGATTTTTAGAGATTTTAGAATTATTTTTGAAAGAGTAATGTATTTCATTTCTTGTATATAATATCTAACATTGTTAATGCAATTTTTGCCATGTGGCTATTTTCTTTTAAATAATATTATTCAAGGAGCAAAAACATATTAAAAAATGTTTTTAAAAACGTTAAGAATAATGGGATAGTTCCCCTTTTTTTTATTAAAAAAACGTTTATGTAAACGTTAAAAAGAATAATTTTTAAACGTTATAAAAATGTTTTAAAAAGATTTGAAGAAAATGTTTATAAAACGTTTTTATAACGTTTAAATAAACGTCTTTTTTTTTTAATGAAAAAAGATGAAACTATCCCATTATTTTTAATGTTATTAAAAATGTTTTTAGAAACATTTTTTAATGTTATAATTATTTGAATAAAATTAGAAAAAATAACAATGTAGAATCTTTTTTTTAATTTTTTTTTTATCAGTACCTAAACCTAGATAACGATTCTTATTAATTAATTCTAATTTTTAATTGTATTTTAATCTTTTTCATTTACCGGGTTTGGAACCTGGGAACTCAGGGTTACGAGTCTTATACCTTATCCGTTACGCCACTTATAACTATCGATGCACACAGTTCTTATTGTTCATATATGATATACATAATGCAATTATATTGTGTTAACTTCTTTTCCGTGATTATTTTATTATTCCGACCCGTTTTTTATTAATTTGAGTTTTAGAAAATAATAAAATTTTTTACATATTTATAATAAACGTCAGATAAATGTTAAATAAATGTTTTTTTAATCTTATTTTGAATAAATAAATAACATAAAACAAACATTTAACGTCATATAAACGTCATATAAACGTTCAAAAAATGTTATTTTGAAAACGAATCACAAAACGTAAAATTAATTACAGAAAAACGTTTAATAAATGTTAAATAAATGTCATCTTGGAAGCGAATCGTGAAATGGAAAATTAATGAAAAATAAACGTTTAAAGAATATTTTCTCTCCATAGTTACAAAAAAAAATATTGAAAAAAGGTTAAATAAATATTTACAAAGTATTAAATAAACTCTTAAAAGATGTATACTGAAATCATTTTCTCACACGAATAATTCATGAAAAATGAATACTTAAAACATATTAAATAAATGTTTAAAAAATGTTTTTTAAAAATCATTATTTTAAATGAATACTTAATGCAAAAAATGTTAAATAAATGTTCAATAAATATTTATAGTGAAAAAATATTTATATTAAAAATATACAATATTTACATTAATTACTTTAAAAAGTTTAAATTAAATTTTAAAGACTAGAACTGTATTTATTAGTAATTATAAATTTTAATTATGTTATGAAATAAATGTTTTATGGAGATACTTTTGTGAGTGTATTATATTAAAGGATTTTGAAACATATCATTCATATTCATATTTCATGCTAATTTTACTTATACATATAAAATGTGATAAACTGATTTATGTAAATAAAGCATAATTGCATAAAAAAATAAGAGTGACTTTTTCAGTACATCTTCATCTATAAGAGTCAGAACCATGCTAACAAGCTGTCTCTTTTAAAATTAAATATTTTTTGTTTAAAATTTTTCCTTGTTATAAATGCATTCTTTTTGAAATATTAAATTAACTATTTAAAATAAGTTATATTACAAAAATATTAAATTAAATATTGAATTAAATTGAGCAAACCAATTTTATTTCGTTTTATCAACCAATGACTGGTTTTATCATATAATT